GATTAGCTAATGATGACACATCTTACACATAATATATTCTATACACTAATCGGAAAACATTGAAACATCTAGCTATAAATACCGCATGAAAAATTATTAGCAAGTAAATAATAATAATGACATCTTGTAAGGCGCACCTATCCATCCCAGAGAGCTGTGCTCGCGTTACCATTTCCACTTTGAAAGAGTAACAGCCTTGTTGGTTAAATGTAACCAGAAGAGGAATCTAACGAAGACAAGAAAACACTTCAAATTTCACGAAAACTTTACTTGGCCCTGGACATTTTATTTTTTGGTGAACTTCATACTTTTTTGGAATTCACTGAGTGGCAGTTTACATGACCATTTACAATTTTTTTTTATACATGTATGTCTGCGGTTAAGATATATTTTATCATTTAAAACTAGTTTATTTTTCACAATTTCTACGTTGGCAAAAAGCTAGTTATTCTTTTAGGACATATACTAAATACACTGTTAATGTGCCATTGGCACTGACATGCACATTCATGAATGAAGCTACTACACGGCCTAAAATATTGGCCGATTAGATCACAAAAAGAAATGTTTACATTTATGCTTTTTTGTCGTCGTTAGGCATTTTAATATATTTTTATATCAAATTCAAAATTAATCATGGATCAATTAATTAAAATTGCTATTATTAATCGAAATTCCGTCGTTCAACGTTGCCTAGAAATGGTAAAATTTAATTTTTAAATTAAAATTTTGATCAAATTTGGCGATAGAGGGCGGGCTTTTTATACTATTTAACAGGCCACCATTTTGTTTTTACTAGTCAGATTTGTATTTTTTAACATTTTCCGATTCTAGATATTATTTCTTAAATTATATATTAAAAAAATTGTTACGATCAAGCTCCGTTTACGAAACATGTTTTGTTGCTTAATTTTAAAATCTTAATGTAGAACATACTAAACCATTTTCGTTTTCGTAATAATGAAAACGCCTATTTCGACAACGGATGGCTCGATTGTACAAAAACTGACATAA